GGGGGGGGGGGGAATAAAGTGGTTTACTTTAAAAATAAATCATGGTTTAACATTACACCCCCGCCCCTTCTCAAGTACTTTGCCACATAAGCCTAAGGGCGTGGTCGTGGAACTTACTCAATATCTTCCTGTCTTCCTCCCAAAGTACTTAACGATTTTTAAATAACTAGTTTTCAGATTTAACAAGAGTATAACATTAAATCTACAAGTACGGGTTAGGCCAAAAAGTTAAAGACTCGCAAAGACCACGGGTTTGCTACTTTAAATCACTGCGGTGTACGCAGGCCACAGACCATGATTAAGCTAGGTACACCGCCGCGGTGTATGTAGTGCCGTCCTTTTTTATTTATTTATAAAGCCCTAAGGGGCTAGGGCTAATGATCATTAGAGATCCCATGAATTATTTTCCAGGGAGTGATTTTCCTTTGTTTATTTTTACTAAATTATTTTAGGGATCGATTTAGGGTTCAGGTTAGGCATAGGGATCGATTTAGGGTTTCAGGTTAGGCATAGGGATCGATTTAGGGTTCAGGTTAGCCATAGGCATAGATGACTTCACTTGACGTGTCAATCAAGATGGCGGCCACTGATAAAAATAGTGGCATTTTCAGTGACCCTGCCCTAAGGCTAAGGCCTAGGGCATGATCTTGGAAATTCGTTTTTGAAGCCCACCCATGGACTACGCTCATGAATTTTGGATATGTTGTAAATGAACCTATAAATTATAAGAGCAGAGGTTTTTTTATTATTGAGCCCATTTTTAAAAAAAGTTATTATTTAGTGAAGTTGACAAATTTTTAACTTCAATTTTCAAATCTTTAATCTTGACCAAAAAAATCAAACGAACTCTTAATATAACAGGAAATATGTCGGCTTTAAGTAATTGGCAGAAGTAAAATTATATTATTATGCTAAAAATCGATTATAAAATGCGAAACGATACCCTCAGTAAATTAAAAAGTAGAGGTCTCCATTATGACAACGAAAGGGTGCTTTCAATCCTGTTTAAGAATTACTGTTTCTAGGGAAATGTTTCTGATACAGTTACAGTTATTTGATATCCATGGGATGTGATTTTTGTTTTATAGGGTAAGTGGGTGCAGAGGTTTGTTACGCTATATTTCAAGGCGTATCTGGAAATTTAATCGAAAGAAATTTTGTCAATGGTAAATTGATCAACGGAAATAAGGTCGAATCTTTTTTTTTCAGTTTTTCCTTTAAAAGTTTGCTTCAAATTTCTTTTTGAGCACATTATTTTGTTTTACTATATAGTGAGTTCAATATTTCTTGTTTACCATTGTTTTGCCATTGTATTGGAATGCCAGCATACCTAATAACTGTGTTCAAGATATTGAGCTAACATTTTATTTCCTTAAAAAATCACCAGGAACAACCGGCTGTAACAAGGTGCCGGAATACAAACAACGTTAGTACAAAAGGAAGGAAATCTGAAATTTTGACAATTAATTGGAATAAACAGTAATATGTGTGGAAAATACACTAATGACTTTGGCCAAAATCATAATGTCTGTCTTCGGATACATATTTTTCCTTTCGTACTAAGATAAATTGAAGCTAACCAGCTCCTTATACTGTCATTATACCCAGTTCACTTGATACTTGGCTCCTCTACCTAATGTGACATTGACCCAATGTCTTTTTCACGAGCGCCTATCAGGCAGCAGTGAAATTGCTCGCACATTTTCTCATTTTTTAAAAATATTTTCTTCAAATTTTATTCCTGGATAGTTGGATATTTTTGGATCTGAAAGTTTCTTGGACTGTTTAGAAGCCTAAATTTTTCACTCATTACAAACTCAATCAGGTTGCAATGAGTGATTTCTTGGCAGGACTATGTGAAACAATTTTTTCGGGCCAACAGGAGACAGAATGATGAATAATTTGATTGTGATAATATGGAAGAAGAAGAAGATGCCATTAAAAAAAACTCTTTATTAAAACTGTACAGTAACAAATACTAGTTAACTTATCCATTCCCAGCAGATATGATACCTTTGAGGACCCTTCTGGGATTATAGAAAAGTTTCACTACGGCACACACTACAGCAATGCTGCCAGAGTCATGCACTATTTGGTCATGGTCGAGCCATTTACAACTCTGCGCATAGAGATTCAGAGTGGCAAGTAAGTGCATAGAGTGGTTTCTGGGGGATGGGGGTGGAGGGAGTTTAAAATGCTGCACATAGAGCATTACAGTGTCAAGTAAGTGCATAGAGATACTGGTGGATGCTGGGGTTGGAGAGCGGGGCAGGAGGCAGCCAATTTAGTGCCCCCATCCCTTGTTTTACTGACATTGTTTTAATATGTTCATGAATTCACTGAGGCTACTTGTACATTGATTAACTTCACAGTAAATGTATGTCACTTCCATTTTTACATGATCATTTGTTTAAAAAGACATTGCATCTGAATACCTTTCTGAAATCCAATAAGCCATTACTATATCAGAATGTGTGAAAGAACAGGATGAGTGAAAGAACAGAATGTGTGAAAGAACAGGATGTGTGAAAGAACAGGTTGTGTGAAAGAACAGGTTGTGTGAAAGAACAGGATGTGTGAAAGAACAGGTTGTGTGAAAGAACAGGTTGTGTGAAAGAACAGGATGTGTGAAAGAACAGGATGTGTGAAAGAACAGGATGTGTGAAAGAACAGGTTGTGTGAAAGAACAGGTTGTGTGAAAGAACAGGATGTGTGAAAGAACAGGATGTGTGAAAGAACAGGTTGTGTGAAAGAACAGAATGTGTGAAAGAACAGGATGTGTGAAAGAACAGGATGTGTGAAAGAACAGGTTGTGTGAAAGAACAGGATGTGTGAAAGAACAGAATGTGTGAAAGAACAGGATGTGTGAAAGAACAGGTTGTGTGAAAGAACAGGATGTGTGAAAGATCATAATGTGTGAAAGAACAGGTTGTGTGAAAGAACAGGTTGTGTGAAAGAACAGGATGTGTGAGAGATCAGAATGTGTGAAAGAACAGGTTGTGTGAAAGAACAGGTTGTGTGAAAGAACAGGTTGTGTGAAAGAACAGGTTGTGTGAAATAACAGGATGTTTGAAAGAACAAGTTGTGTGAAAGAACTAATTGTGTGAAAGAACAGGATGTGTGAAAACACAGGGTAAGTGAAAGAACAGGATGTGTGAAAACACAGGGTAAGTGAAAGAACAGGTTGTGTGAAAGAACTAATTGTGTGAAAGAACAGGATGTGTGAAAACACAGGGTAAGTGAAAGAACAGGATGTGTGAAAACACAGGGTAAGTGAAAGAACAGGTTGTGTGAAAGAACAGGTTGTGTGAAAGAACAGGATGTTTGAAAGAACAGGTTGTGTGAAAGAACTAATTGTGTGAAAGAACAGGATGTGTGAAAGAACTAATTCTGTGAAAGAACAGGATTTGTGAAAGCTTGAATGAAAATAAAGGATTGTCTAATCAGAAGATCTTTTGAACGTTTTGGCTGAAATTCTTTATCAACAGACAGCTTGTTAGACAATGCACATAATTTTATTTGAAGTTTCTTTTGTGTACATCGCCAGTGTAGTGATGCCACTTTTGTGTAAATTCCATGTACAATGGTGCCACAATCCCCAGGTTTGATGTGGCCGACCGTCAGTTCCACTCAATTTCAGGGAGCTTCTCCTCCCTGATGGACAACCCAAATGATATCCAGGAACTCCTCCCAGAGTTTTTCTACTTCCCGAGTTTCTTGTCAACTTCATTGGTAAGTCTTACTGTAAATGCGGCAGTGCAATCTGCAATACTGCTAAGTAAATCTTAAATGCAGTCTGCAACACTGCTAAGTAAATCTTATGCAGTCTGCAACACTGCCAATACTGACATGCTCATCTTTAATTGTAATACTTTATTTTAAAGACCTTTGCTTTAAATCAGTCATCAAAACCTGCAGTCTTTCTAGTGTTAGATCTATGCTAGTGTTTCTGTGGACATTTAATTTCAATGTTTGACTATCACATTAAAAAAACACACTTTTTCTTGGCTTAATCCATTGCAAGATTACAACTACATCTGTAGATGTGACATTTTCTCAGGTACTAACGTAGCACAAACTAATTGTTTGTATCATGTCCAGGTTTTGATCTCGGAAGACTTCAGATCACCAAAAAGTCTGTGGACGATGTCAAGTTGCCTCCATGGGCCAGCACACCGGAAGAGTTCATTTAATAACACAGACAGGCCCTGGTAAACATGTCTTTTTTGTAACTACATGTCTTTGTTTGTCAGTCTGCCTCCTTGGACCAGCCACGTTTCATGAGTTTAATGCCAGTATGTTTGACAGTACAGATGTGACTGCACTGTTCAAACTGTTGGGTAGTTTAGGATTGGGGTAGACCCCACCCTGTTTTCCTGCCTGTGGCACCATGATATCAAATAACTGTATGTGGTTTATAAACACAGACAGACTTCTACTATATGACCAGGGTTGTTAACAATACTAAAAAAAATTATTGGCAATACCAATACTGCCTGTAAAATCTATTGGCAATACCAATACTGCCTGTAAAATCTATTGGCAATACCAATACCAATACAATTTTAAAACCAGTATTGCAATACCAATACCAATATTTATTTATTATTGCCTTACCAATACCAATATTTGGGTCATTCGACGAATAAAACGCAAATACGTAATTCATCGCTCTATATCACTTACATCGATAAACGATAACAACATTTTTGGCTAATTTAGACAATGTATTTTTAACCAAATTTTGTTCAATAGTTAACACTTGCTTCATCAGTTTTCCTCAAAGCATTCAAAAGTCTTTGACAACATATTAAATAAGTCGGCATACCTTAACGTCCTTAAGCAACAAGATTTTTAATATGTATACTGTACACATATTGTGAATGAATGAATGGATGGATGGATGAATGAATGGATGAATGAAGCAAATGACTGTCATAGAAAAGCAAATGATACATAAACGGTTAAACATCATACTATAGTAAAAACAGTCAGACCGAGTCAGTGGATTGCATCACATCTGGAAAACTAACGATGAACGATGAATTTTAGTAGAGTTCACAGGGTAACGCCACCTATTTGGCCGTTACCACTTAGCCAGGCGAAGAAAAGTAACCATTTCAAAATGCGCACTGCTCAGTCGTGAACGAAGAGGGGAAAATACTCGTCCTCCTAATGAAAACAACCTTTCAACAGCAGCGCTTGAAGGAAGTCCTGTATTCAGGTCTATGTATATTTTACGGATATGTGGATAGGCATCCAATGATGCAATACTGTCTGAAGTGTCTGCCAAGTAATTATTAATTTCTTGATTCACATCAGGTGAATCATTCACACGATGTCGTCTGGCTGACAATCCAGCGAAGAAGTCTGGCTGATTATCTGTACCATCAGCAGCAGCCGACGTTGCTTTCTGATCATCAGTAGGAGCAACCAACAGTGATTGTGAAACGCGTCTCTTCAGTGCTTCAATAAGATGCGAACGCTGTAAATCATCATCTATCCAGTCCAACTTGAATTTGGGATGTACAACGGATGCCAGCTGAGCATCAATGCTGTCAAACATGTTTGAAAATCTTCTATCGATGGCATTCAAAAGACATGAAGCTAATGGAGAACAAATTACGAGCCGATCATTCTTTCCTTGATCAAGAAACACTTTTAACTGAGCCTTCATCACGACAAGTGTTGGTAGAAGGAAACCAAGTCCAATGTCTTTTTTAGTTTCACCCTGCAAAATATCTAGTCCACAGCTAACAGGCTTCATAACAGCAACATACTCTTTAACAAATGTTTTCTGTACAGGCTGTAGTCTTTTGATATCAAGTTCATCACAAAGTTTGTCAAACTTAACTTCCATGTCACTTACACAGAGAATGTTGTAAACTCTGGTGACAGCATCATACATTGAATTCCACCGGGTTTCACCAGGTGTTACCAAAAGCATACCAAGTGAATCCTTGATCTTTTCAGAAGCTACAACTGATCGGTTTTGTTTATTCCAGAGGGCTGTCAACTTTGAAAATGTCTGAACTGATGTTCTCTTATAAAGTAATCATCAATTTTGGCACAGTCACTTGTTGCTACAAGGCTGAGCAAATGACAGGCACACTTCCAATGTGCCGGAAGGTGATACAGGATCTGATCGTCATCTGCACTGCTTGTTAGATTCAAGGTCTCATCAATCTCCTGATACTGAATATCTGAATCGTCAGAATGGTCCTCACCATTCTGATCCATTTCCACGCTGCTATCTTCAGACTCATCAACTGAAAAGATGAAACATATCTTATTTTGCAACTCATACTCTTCAAAGATCTCCTCCAGTGTCTTTGCTATTACATCGTAAGTATGTTTGCCCTTTAGTTGACGAACAGCAAGACAGGCAGCCTTTCGTGACAGGGTATGATTATCTAACCAATGCACGGTTATTCCCAAAAAGCTGCGCCTCCGAGAAGTCCAGCAGTCTTCTGTAGTGCAAACACGATTCACTGAACATAGTGTATCTTTGAGTTCTCGTTTCTTCAACTTGAAACGTTCTTCCAACTGCTTTGTTACGGTTTGTCGACAGGCTGGATACAGTCGGCCTTGTGTGATTTGATGGATGAGACGACGGAAAGAGTCAGTGTTGACATGATGCACAGATAGAACACTGTCCACTATATAATCTACAACAAAACTATCAAGCTGTTGTTGAGTCAGCACTGAACAGGATTCTAGCTTGGTCTGTTTCAATTGAGATCCTGAGTTGTTTTCATGTAATTGCTCACTGTGATGTTTTGCACCACACTTCTCCTGTCGCAGTTCATCACAAAGTTTGTTGAATTTGGTAAGACATGACGGGTGCACAGCTGCAATGTGTTTCTTAAGATTCTGACGAGATGTGTTCACACATGATATTGACTTTTGTTGGCCACCAAACGAACATTTCTTACAACGATACAGCGAATTGCCTGCCTTTTCAGCCGGACCAACGTCCTGGAAGTATTCTTTTGGCACAGATAAACTACTGCTACCACTGGACACTTGTTGAGGTACTGATATAGTCTGTGAAGTTGTGGAAGTGTTGTGATCTGCCATGGTTTAATGTCTCTGAAACAAACAAAACGTTACATATTATAATTATAGTTGGCAGACACATGCATGGGTAGTGGAATGGTGACATGAGTCACATGGCCCAGAAAAGGCCAGCATTATACCTTGTCTAAAGTATACATTTATATTAATTTGCTAATTAAAGCAACAAGAAAACTATAAAACTTTTGAGACTACAATATTTGAATTAGTGATATGATAGTATACTACATGTGTTAAATTTTGTTCAAATTTTAATTGAAAATGTAGAAATTTAAAAATCTTAATCTATAATATTAGCACTAAAGTTGTTTCAATTGTTTTACATTAACAAATAATGTCATTTTTACTGATTTAGCAATAAAAATTCAAGTCATAAATTACAATATTTGTACTTTTCTGCATTTTTTTGTGCAAAGTTAATTATTTGGTTACAGTTTAATGTTCTTAGAA